GATTTGCTTTCTATGGCATACAATGATGTTGCATAAGAATTGTGATTTTTAACATCTGATATTTTTTGTCCACCCACCCTCCCCATGAATGATCCTTTAATGGATTTGGGTGTTGTTTTAAGACCCAGAATCCACAGTCCCCCCTTCCTCCCAACCAATACTTTATAAACGGTTCCTAAGGAAAGGAAAGGAAAGTTATTTTTCACCTGGCCACACAACCAAAGGCCTGTAGCAAGGCCTGGATACCAACGGGGTGGCAAATGCCTCACCATTTCATTTTGCAATTATTGTATGTCTGATTATATCTGTGTTTATATATTTATTTTGTATTTGTGCATACGTATTCCATTAAACAGTGGGGACATTTATAATGCAGCCCCAGACATCTATGCCACCCAAAGTAGTTAGATTTTAAGGATTAGGCTAGGATCAAGGACCTTCAACTCCCCCAAACCCCCTCCCCCCCCCTCAAAAAAAACATTCCACAAACTTTGGGTGATAAATTTTATTTGCCGCATTCTATAAAAAGAACTCGATTCTGTGTTGAATAATTTTTTTTTCAACTATATTACTTCTATTTACTAGCTATTTCTAAATGTATTGGTTTTTTTAAAATAATAATGTTATATAAAAAAAATTCTTGATTATATCAATATAACAGATGAAGCAGTATTTGTTACAGTCATGATCATTTCCTGGATAGCAAACATGGTGCATGGTAGTCTGGCTTCGGTACAAACATCTATTTTCTTGATGCCTTATATGGTGTTATTTGTACTCGAACTATACCACAATGCATCCTGTTTATCAAACTCAGGTTTTCCTCCCTCCACAAATCCTAACAAGCTAAATTCCAATTATATCAGTGAGTTAGACAAGCTCCCATAACTAATAGCGCAGCGCACTGATTCTAAAAATAGCTTAAAGATTCGGACAAACATTGCATTCTGTTTAACTGCTACGAGGATTATACAAACCGATTTTATTATTTTTACTTAAAGTTACAATAATAACCCATGTAAACTAAGATCAACTGCGATTGGCTGTGAAAATTATCTGCTGAAAGTAAACTTGTAAGTTTATTTGTCCGAATTTTGCCTTTGTCTTCATTTTTATGTCAAAGTTGCGCTGCGCTATTGCTCACCCAGGTTGTTTCATGTTACTAATAAAATCTTAAGATTTGAAAGTTACTTAACATACTCATGAACAGTTCATGAGGGAAGCACAATAGAAATCATGACCGTGAAGAGCTTTATAATTCTGATACAGAATGTTTATTTGCATAAACTTTAACTTAGATTTTCTTGGGCAGATTCACTTKTATCTTGAAAGTTTTAGTGAAACACAAAGGAACAAACCTAGATGTTTGTCTAGCAATATACAATATTCGTGTCTGTATCATATTACTTGAAGATCTTAGTGCCAATGCCTAGTAACATATAAGTAACACAGCATAATCTTACTTAAAACTTGCATGACATTATGATACAAATGTGACTCTTGTGTAGAACTAATTCCACAAGCATTAGCCGTTTTGAGCTTAAGGAAATAATTGGGCCAAGTTGGCATTGCAGTGCATTGTTGAATTTGAAAGTGTTTAAATATTGTTAAATTTGATGGTACAAAGTGGTAATGTACATTATTGCGTACCCATAAGACAAGGTTAGTATCATGACTAACAATGTGGTTCAATTTCTTTGGCAAGTGACTTGTAACTAATTTCTACTCACGTGCTAGAAAAGCTACCAGTTGTCATAATTATAGTTATTTTCTGAAATTAGTTGAGTGACCTCCAAACAACAGCTCGATTTCAACTTACAGTAAATACAGGGAGAACCAGGATTTTGTTCAGGGAGGTGTGCTAAGCACAAAGTTAACCCAGGGAGGGGTGCACCCCTTAGAATCAAAAGGAAAAAACAGTATTGGTTATCAACAAAGTAGGGGCACAAAATGGAACCAGGGAGGGGTGCACACTACCTGCACCCCTCCCCTGGATCTGCCCCTGAAATAGATTATTGCATAATCCTACCATGCCAGGTTTGTGGTCACTCACTCAAGCAAATTTTTTTACAATAACTTACAAATTTCTTGTGCACTGATTGGTTATTTTTTATCAATAAGAGGACAGACAGATAAAGCTGACGTCAATGAGCGCACGCTCTTTCCGTTGGTCATTTTGATTGCTAAAAATGAGAAGTTTTTTTCCTTTTTATTATTGTTAAAAACAACTAGACATCATTTTTTTATGTGTCTGTCCTCTCATAGACCTATAAATTGCGTCATCACATTGTCAAAGTAGTATGCGGATCATCACACTATCATCACACATCCACACTACTTTGACAATGTGATGGCGTAATTTATCGTCAAAAAAAAGGACAGACAAATAGATATGTCTAATTGTTAACTAGAAAGATTAATTAATGCACTATGCAGGAAACCCTGTGCAACAATAACTCAGATGCTTGTATTCTGGACTTTGTCAGAGGATAGTATTGCACAAGATATTCCAGTAGAAGAAATACTAATGCGTAACAGAGTTCTAAAATAATGTAATACAAATAATGTGCATATTCAGTTATTCAACCAAGAAAAGCAAAAAAACAATGAACAATGCTATATTTCAATTCAGTTCAAAACCCTAATCAGGGGAAAGTGATTGAACCGAAATATAGCATCGGAATGTTCTTCATCATTTTGTGCTTAGCTCTGCTGAATATCAAACCTGAAAATACACATTTTCTGTATTCTGTTTTTTTTGTTCGTTTTTGTTTTACCTAAAACTGCCAGTTGTGATTGCTATTGACAGAACTCTATAAAAAAAAATTTTCGTGCTTTTTTAAAATTTATATTTCTCCTCGAATGGTGCTTACTGTCATAGTACAGTAGTAACAGCTCCTTATTAAATTCAATACTCCAGCAATGAATGCTCCTATCCAAACCACATATATACCTGAAGAAGGCAAAGATATTTGTATAAAAAATCATATTAAAATAATAAATTAATATTTTTTATGCAAACAAAAAATTGTGGATTGAGATGTGAGAGAATGTGAGAGACTAAGGTAAAAATGCCCGGGGGGTAGTCTTGCCCGTTTAGGGTAGGGATGTGCCGCTGAGCCCTCTGAACCCTAACTATGTTCCAGAGTAAAATCGCTGAAATTCATGTACCCTGTACCAGAGCAAGATCGCTGAAAGCCATAACCTTTTCCAGTATTGTGAAAATGGATATCCTCTTTCAGAGAGGAGAGAGCGTGACCATAACACAATCTAAAGCAATTTATACCCTGTGACGGCTAGCGCCAAAAAGGTGAATTAGTAATTTTGGGTCTTTCTTGGTGTAGCAAGCTTTATTGTATTTTGGGTTAGGGTTATTGTTTTGCAGGGTATCGCTTAGCTCCAAATTTATTATTCTTGGCTATTGTTTTATTTTCTTCATGCTTCAAGTGCCTTGCAACGCCAAAAAAGAGCCTTCCTTTTTTAATGAAATCTCACCTGATGATTCCCTGGCCATCTCATAGGTGCCAACCGTAACACCAACTCCAGCAGCCAGGAAAAGAAAACCAATTACGGCAAAGATTGTAGCACGAGTCTTGGCAAAACTTGGGCCAACAGACGATCTTTAAAGAATAGACAAAAATTATCCACATAACTTTTAATACCACATGTAGTTTGGGGTAAAGTGGAATGTTAGGAAAAGTGAAATAGCATAAAATGTTTGGTTGATAGTTAGAAATCGCACCCTTACAGTCTCTATCAGATAGCCTGACATGTATACCAGTAAATATGTGGTCTGGTAAAACAAGATTGTACTTACACACGCCTGCAGTGTGGACACCTTGCTAAGTGAGTAGTTGTGTGGAACTAAAAGAAATATTACGTATCATGATTCAGTACAGCTATTATAATCAATACCTGCTGTTATTAACATCATCATTACCACCACCACCACCATACCCCACCATCATCACTGCCATCACTATCATCATCACTGCCGTCACCACCATCATTTCCACCACCACCACCATACCCCACCATCATCACTGCCATAACCATCATCATCACTGCCGTCACCATCATCATTTCCACCATCACCACCATACCCCACCATCATCACTGCCATCACCATCAGCATTACCACCACCACCACCATACCCCATCATCATCACTGCCGTCACCATCAGCATTACCACCACCACCACCATACCCCACCATCATCACTGCCATCACCATCAGCATTACAACCACCACCACCATACCCCATCATCATCACTGCCGTCACCATCATCATTACCACCACCACCACCATACCCCACCATCATCACTGCCATCACCATCAGCATTACCACCACCACCACCATACCCCATCATCATCACTGCCATCACCATCACCATTACCACCACCACCACCATACCCCACCATCATCACTGCCGTCACCATCATCATTACCACCAC